TCTTAGGATTGAGCTTGTACTGCTTGTAATCGCGAATCCAATGACTGAGAAACCAGATGTCAATAAATGCAATGCACTTGGTCCAAAATGGGCTGGGATCTCGCATGGACCTTTTGATGAGGATTCGCAGAAACGCACTAACATGCTACGCAAAAACACAAAATCAAGTCAATATAATATAATCTATAACTCAGTCGTAACAAAACACATAACTCAGCCACATATTACACTAACTCAGCCAACTAGTATACTTAACTCAGCCTTAAAAAAACGTAACTCAGTCACATAAAATTTATAACTCAGCCGTAAGGAATACTTACATCATCATGCAGCCATCCATATCTAATGTCTTCCCACGGTCTTTCAGTGATGATGATTCTGTAGAAATCACCCGCATGGGCCGCTGTTGGGGTAGTGGGAGCGTCTTTATGTTTCTCTAGGTGTTCCATAAGTTTATCCCATTTTGCTGGATCAACCGGTGCTAAAGGATCATATATTGCTGGTGAAGGCAATAACGTATTCCTCATGCACGTCGTTACATTGTCTCCAATCTGAGGAAAAACTGGTGCTGGAGGAGCATTATCAGAGAGCTGCAATGCAGACCCATTTGCAGATAACTGAACATTTTTCTCCTGATATTCTTTTATTCTTTCAGATCTGATCATATTCTCTTCATCCTCATCAGACTCCGGAAGCACTTCGTCTCGTGTTGCGAGAAATTCGTCAGTAATATCCGCAAGCTCACTGTCGGCTTGAATCTGGTTCGGCTGAGGTACAGCTACTGTTGTTAAACCGCGACGCGTCCTTTTTGCGACCGGTTTCTGTAACTCAGCCATTTCTTTCTTCTTCAACTCAGCCGCCTTCTTTTCGTCAGCCTTCCTTTGCCTTGTCTCAGCCGCCCGTTGCTTTGTCTCAGCCGCTTTTTTTCTCTTTTTTTCAGCCGCCTCCTTCTTCTTTAACGCAACCTCTTATTCCCTACTTACAGCCGTTAAGTTATTCTTAGGAGACACATCCTTCTTTCCTAACTCAGCCGCCACTTTGTCCTTCTCTTTAACCTCATTTCCTTTTTGTTTAAACCTTATTATCTTGTGCCCGCTTCCTAAGACTGGGTCATTTGCAAGAGAAATACCAACGAATCAACAGTGTCTCCAAAATTCTTAGCAGGTGTACTATGGACAGAGGCCTTAGCAGGTGTACTATGGACAGAGGCCTTAGCAGGTGGACTATTGACTGACTGCTGCGGAAACAAGTTTGATGGTGGCGGTGGCGGCGGTGGTGTTGGCAACGTTAAAGATTGTTGGGGAACTTTAGAGAAGTACTCGTCCACTGCAACTCTGACTAAATCAGGAATGTTCGTATAATTGGACTCGATTCTGGATAACCGCGCGTCGAAGTTTTCGAAGTTGTTCTCGTGGCTGTCTATTTTTGCGACAATTCTATCCAGACTATACATTATTTTTATCACTATCGGATTTTCTCCAATATCATCATTACCTTACTTCTCGTAAGCACCCTTTCCCTCCACAGCAGCTTCATCCTCTTGGAAGATGCTCACTTTCTTCTGCTTCTTAATGGGTGGCTCAGCCTTTGACGAAACACCAAAAACCTTTGTGTTTGTTTGTTTGCGTTTCATCTGTGTTCCCCAAAAACCTCTAACAAACCGACCTGCATATATGTATGTTATCAAGTTAACGAGTTGCGGATCAGCTGCTTCATCCTGCCACTGAGGAAACATCTCTTCTACGGAGTCCTTCATAACCATTTTTCTCACGCGCACCTACAAAATCAGCCACCGAATACATAATAACTCAGTTGTCAAAGTACTAATAACTCAGCCACAAAGTACCAAAACCCAGCCACCATGCCACCATATAAACACTATCTCAGCCATCAAATAACTAATATCAAGAAACCCAGCCACTATGTACATATTAACTCAGCCATCAAAACTAATACCAAGAGGCTGAGATATTGTTTATATGGTGGTTGGGTTGTTGGTGTTCATAAAACAACTAATAACTCAACCATAAAATACTAATAACTCAGACACTTTATACATGCTAACTCAGCCATCAAATAACTAATACCAAAAATCCCAGCCACTTAAGTACATGAGTACTTATATCCCAGCCAACAAATAAATAATAAATCAGTTGACACCTTACCTCGCCATGTTTTCTAATCTCCTCAGTAATGACAGTATCAAAACATGAACGTGTACGCTTTCCACCCCATCGAAAAAGTGGAATTTCTTGCTCATTGACCACTCTCCCAAAACGCTCTCCAAAACAAATGACAGATTCATACGCCCAAACCAACAACACGTCCTTCAGACCGCTTATGGTGTATGTCCTTCCTTGTGGATTCAACATCTTAATAGAGTCAACAAGAACTTCGTATGCAGTCCTCCCCCATGGATACGTCATCATGGCTTCATCGTCAAATACTCTTTTTGCACTTTCAAACGGTATCCTAGAATTATGATGCAAAGCATAAAGTCCCATGGCTTGAAGAAGTAACAGCCNTAGGTTCATCACCAACTAGACTCCAAATCTCCTTCAAGTATACTCGAAGCTGTCGACATAGTAGATAGTGGACAGTCCTACCAGACCACACGCTTTTGCGTTCAGCTAGCTTCACAATAATTCCAAGAGGACCCTGCCTCATGTGATCCCACACATCCCGTCCTATTGCTTCTCTGACGTTAGGGAAATCTCCCATCTGAAAATTGTGATTAATCTCTTTATTTTCTAGATTAGAAGCCCCTTCAGCATAAAGTCGTGGAGGATAATCACGTGCTTGATCTTCAGAAATAGCCATCTGATCCTAAAACACATATATAGATAAATCAGCCGCAATAGAAACAAAACTCAGCAACAACATAATAAATAACCCAGCCACCATATCAATAACTCAGCCAAAACATAATCAATAACTCAGCCAAATCATAAATAATAAATAACTCAGCCACAACATAATATATAAATCAGCCACAGTGATCAATAACTCAGCCAAAAAATAATCAATAACTCAGTCGGATCATAATCAACAACTCAGCCACTTCATAAATCAAACTCAACTCAGCCACACTATACAATAACTCAGTAACAACATAATCTATAACTCAGACACGTCATAAATCAAACTCAGGCACAACATACCAGAGAAGATGAGAAGATGATGTCGTAGATACGATTACTCGAAACTTTTGCGGAGAAGAGGATGTCGACGAAGATGATATCGGAGACGGTTGGGTTTAACGAGGTCGACAAAGAGGCTAACGGAGATGATTTACGATATCGGAGAGGATTTCGTGATTTCGTAATCGTTAGGGTTTAACGAAAGTTGTGACGAAGAAGTTGTGACATTAAGACTTTTTTTTGTTCCCCGGAGATATGGGACTGTTGATTTTCCAGTGTAACTGTTGATGACATAAATTAGTGACGTGGATTGTCAAATTATGATGTGGATTTAATANTGATTTCGTAATCGTTAGGGTTTAACGAAAGTTGTGACGAAGAAGTTGTGACATTAAGACTTTTTTTTGTTCCCCGGAGATATGGGACTGTTGATTTTCCAGTGTAACTGTTGATGACATAAATTAGTGACGTGGATTGTCAAATTATGATGTGGATTTAATAATTAAAATTTGTATCAATAGTAACAAAATTAAACAATGGTGTTTATTGTAATTTACTAGGAGTCTAAAAACATGCTAGTAATTTTTAGAAAATGTATACTATTCTAGTCATATACCAACTTTTGTATAACATTCTAGTAATTTTCTCATATATTTATGGGTATGCCACTGGTAAAGCATATAGAGTAATACACGAACGCAGGCAACAAACCAGTATCATATTCTCCTAGTGTGTTTTTTAAAGTTTTGTTGGTTACGAATAGGTTTGACATGAAATGTTTATATGCATATGTATTATGACTAGGTGTTTTTTCTGCACTATGTGCAATTATACATTTTTGAATCTAAATTATATTTTAAAAGAAAATTTACTCAATATTTTATTAGTTTATACCAATATTTTGATATAAATATTATTTTAGATAAAAAAATTAAGATAAATAACATTTTGATTAATTTTAAATTTATCTACATATATATATATTTAAAAATTCTAATCTTAGGTAGATTTTCATTTATTTCTTCTAGTTAAAATATTAAATCAATTTTAATAATTTATTTTAGAAAACTTGATATAAAATTTATAATTATAAAAAACTAATTTAATTTCTAATAAAAATAGATAGTAAAGTGAAACAAATGATATTGTGATTAAAAATTTATAAATTTTTAAGATTGTATAAAATTTTCTTTAGTAATAAAATTGAACTACTGTAAAATAGATATAAATAATACTTCAAAAATTTTAAAATATTTTATAGTATTTAATATATTAGTTATTGCCATATTCTAAAATATTTACAAAAAAATAGAAATTGTTATTAAATGTAAGTGACATGTCATATTTAATCACAATCTATATCATGAATTTTATTATTATTTTTTGGTGAAAATGATTGTAGAGATGGGATATACCAAATGACTTGCTAAATAGCGTCTAAGGATATTTGGAAAGTCATGTACTTACATAAATAAATAGTGTCTGCCGACAAAAAAGAAAAAGAAAAAAGAAGTAAATAGTCTCGCTCTACAAAACTCATTTACTTTCCAAATTCTTGTTTGATATTTGATATTAGTAATTAATTTAGTTATGCAAAATATTTTACAATTATTTGATTTATTTTATTGTAGAATTTGCGTTTCTACTACTGTACAGTAAAAAAAAATAAAAACGGTCTGATTTTTGAGTTATGTTTCAGTTTTTGGACTCATTTGGATCTGGGATATACGATAGACTAAAGTTTAGCTGTCCTGGTTTGTTACCAAAATTAAACCGGGGTATTAAAAAGAACCGGATAAACCAAAATTCTAGACTCTCGACTCTTCTGTCTCCATCCGCCTCCTTCATTTCTAAACCTTCATGTCCTCTTGTCTTCCTTCTAGGTCTTCTCCGAGTGAAAGCCCTTTGACTTTTCTCTCTATATACCTTCATCTGGGTAAGTGCCTTCTTTCATATCTTAGCTTGTAGTTTCATTTTGTCACCAGTCTCTTCTCACTGCACGCAATTGTTCAAAAACCCCAACTTTAGATGTCATTGCTCAAATATTCACTCATCTCTTCAAAGTTTTTGTCTTTCGATGGTGGGTTATTGTAAGCATAGCTAACTGTGTTTTTATTTGTCTCTTCTCACCTCTTTTTGGGACACAAGTGGTTAGAAGCAGAGACTGGTTCACTACTTTAGCTTCTAGAACTGTTTATGTCTGATGGATCGTCTCAGCAGGCTACCAGACGAGCTTCTTTATCACATCCTGTCCTTCCTTCCCACAAAGTCTGCTGTTGTGACTTCTTCTCTCTCCAAGAGATGGCTCAATCTCTGGAAACTCAATCCTAATCTCGACATTGATGACTCTGTCTTTATTCATCCTGAAGATGGTAAAGGAGAAAGGGAAGAGATTCGACAGAGCTTTGTCAGTTTTGTAGACAGTGTACTTGCTAGGCAGGGTGATGCTCCTATCAACAACTTCTCCTTAAAGTGTATCACTGGTATCCATCCAGATACTGCCAACCGTTGGATATGTAACGTCCTGAAGCGTGGTGTCTCTGACCTTAACCTTTTCACTGATTTTTCGTATGATGATACAGAAGATGATAATTACCAACTGCCTAGAGAATTGTTCTTTAGTAGTACACTTGTTAAGCTGAAGTTAAGAAGGGAACGCTGTGTTGACTGGTGGTGGGACGAGTCTTTATCCTTACCGATGCTTAAGAGTCTTAACATTGACTCTGACTTGATCTTTTACGGTAAGATTGAGAAGTTTATTCCTTCTTTCCCTGTGCTTGAAGATTTACGAATGGCTAGCATGGAATGGCTAGAGCCGGATGTAACCGTGTCAAGTGCAACCCTCTTAACGCTAAGTCTCCATGGCACTGGCTGTGAAGATTTTGTGAATCCAACGAGGGTTTCTTTTGATACTCCAAACCTGCTAGTCTTAAGTTACTTTGACTTAGTTGCGCAAGACTATCCGTTAGTCAATATGAAGAAGTTAAATCAGGCTGTAATCAAGCTTATAGTAACTGATAAACAGGTTAAACGACAAAGAGAGCCTAACAATGAGTTGTTAGAGGATGATGATGATGAGGGTAATGTTGTTGTCCACTTTGGCAATGTGGTGAAGCTCATGAATGGGATTCAAAATGTTCAGATACTTTCCATCAATGCTGATACTCTCGAGGTCAGTTTTCTTGTGTCTATTAAGCTCTCTGGTCTAGTACTTGTGAAACATTTGTTGCAAATTTTATTTGTTTTCAGGTGCTTTCTCAATGCTGTAATACATTGCCAGTGTTCAACAACCTCAAGTTCTTAGGTATTACAAGTGAAGAGGGTAGAGGATGGCAAGCAATGCCAGCTCTCCTAAAGAACTGTCCACGTTTAGAAACTATAATCCTTGAGGTAGAATTATAAACCATGAAATTACATGTGTACTGTTGAAGTAGCAGTTTCTTTAATGTCTCCTTTTATATGTTTTCAGGGTTTATCACACTACGTAACTGATAAATGTGGAGATGCTTGTCCCTGCATATCTCGGGAAGACAAAGGTCGTTCACTCAGGTCTTGTCCAGTGAATAGGATGGAGATTCAAGGGTTCCGAGCAACAATGAAAGAGATGACCATGATAAAGCATTTCTTGGACTATTTTCCAAATTTGAAGAGGCTTGATGTTGTCATTGAAGATAATGAACCTACGCAGCTCAGAAACCCTGAATTGTCTAAATGTATCACGGAGATGTTCGCACTCTACAACAAGTTGTACCCGAGTTGCAATGTCGAGCTCACAGTGAGTCCTTTCTTGCAAAAGAAGTGGCGTGAACAAGGACATATCTGAAAGAAGAATAACTTTTGCTTGCTCTTAGTTTTGCCTTGTTTGACTTGGCCCATGTTTTGTTTTTGTTTAGTTGGCTTGTAAACCATCGCAAACCAAACCAATCGACAAACCTGAATCTGTTTCTATTGTTTTATCTTTTATCAGTTTTAACTTTTTTTATTCATGTCTTTGTCTTTGATCTTCCCATTGTCCTCTGCATTTTCTTCTCTTGTAAAACCTGCACACAAGAATAAATAGATTAGCGTATGATTGTAACCCAACCGAAGGTAGTTTCCAGTGATTGGATTGTGGATTGGGAGCAGAGCCTCTCCCCAGATGTAACTCCGTGAACTAGGCAAAGAAATTGAGTTGTGTTTAACAAGTGATATAAGAATTGCGAAGATCTGCTTGGAATTCGCTTTGATTCCTCGTTGTGTAACGATGTAGTCGAGGAATTCCCCTGAAGTTACACCGAAGGTACACTTCGCGGGGTTCAGTTTTATTCCATACTTGTTCAAGGTTTTAAAACATTCGCGCAAGTGAGCCGGATAGTCGGCAGCACAAAACGACTTGACCATCATGTCGTCGATGTAAACTTCCATCGTCTTGCCGAGTTTATCGACGAACATCTTGTTTACCAAACGCTGGTACGTCGCGCCAGCGTTCTTCAACCAAAATGTCATGACCTTGTAACAGTATGTTCCCCTATCGGTTATGAACGCGGTCTTCTCTTGGTCGTCCGAATGCATCATGATTTAGTTGTACCCGGAGAATGCGTTTATGAAGGTGAGGAGCTCGTTGCCAGCTGTTGACTCGACCAGACAATCGATATGCGTAAGGGGGAAGCTGTCCTTGGGACACGCCTTGTTCAGATCTGTGAAGTCGACACAGACTCGCCACTTCCCGTTCTTCTTCTTGACCACGACTGGGTTTGCTAACCACTCGGGATATCTGATCTCCGTGATCGATCCAGCTGCGACCAGTCGCTCGACTTCTTCATTAACGGCCTTCGATCATTCTGGGCCGAGCTTTCGATGTTTCTGTCGGATGGGTTTGAAAGTGGGATCGACGTTGAGCTCGTGAGAAGTGATTTTTGGATCAATCCCTTTCATATCCGAGGTGGTCCATGCGAAAGTTGACACATTTTCTTTGAGGAATACGAGGATCGTTTGCTGCATCTCGTCAGAGATGTATGCTCCTATTCTTACGATCTTGCTGGGATCCTCGTCGTCAATTTGCACCTCGAGGACCTCGTTCTTCTGAGGGTATATCTTGTGGATAGGCTTCGCAACGGGATTGGCCTGAGGGGTCGACTGCTGGAGCTTAACATTAGCGATCAAGAGATCGCGTGCAGCTTGTTGGTCGCCTCGTAATGTCTTGATCCATCCGTCATTTCCGGAAAACTTGACACATTGATGGTACGTTGAGGAAATGGCTTTCATCGAGTGGAGCCACGGTGTGCCAAGTATAACGTGGTAAGCTGTGTCGGTAGCGATAACGGAGAACTTGACCATGCGAGTAACCCCGCTAGCATAGACTGGGAGTCTGATGGTGCCGATAATTTCTTCTGAGACTCCGTTGAATCCGGTCAGGGAATGGTTACACGGTTTCATGAGGTGCAGGTCGGCTCCCATCTTCTCAAGAGTTTTTATGGAAGATGAGATCGACCGAGCTGCCGGCATCGATCAGCACCTTGGTCACTTCACAGTCCCCAATGCCCAACTCGACGAGGAGGGGGTCATTATGCGGCATATGAACTCCGAGTGCGTCCTCTGCCGAGAATGTGATCGGGGGGTCATTCTTTGGTACGGGTGGTCATTTCTGTGAGGTCTTTACCTGACGCTGATGGGCTTTGATGGATCGAACCGAGTCGCCGCATGGGGGCGAGCCTCCCATGATAATGTTAGCTTGTTTACCTTGGAGTTGGGAGCGCAGGTCGTAAGGCGAACGCGCGACTGCCGTTAGTCCTTTGGTCGCATCGAGCTGCTGTCGGAGATCTTGGATTTTTGGTTTGCAAAGTTTGAAGCAGAGGTCGGCGACCTTCGAATTTAGGTGATCTCTCAAATCAGTTCCGCTGGAGGATGAGCTGGATTTGTTGGGAGTAGCGACCTCGTCTTCGGGGCCGACAGACTCGGATGATGTTCTCTCAGTCACAACGTTCTTTCGCTTTAGCCTGTGCCGTAAATCAGCCGAGCTCAAGCTGTCCCACTCGGTAGGTCGCTTGTCGCTGCATGTACGCAGATCTTCTTGGACAAGCTCGGGCTCGTGATTCGTCATTTAGCTCGGGCGTGCGAGAATACCTTCGACTCTTCGTCGGTTTCTCGGCTGCTCTTCGTCGGCAGATGAGTCTCCTTTTTCTTGAGTTTTGGGAGCAGTCTCCTTGGCGTTCGTGTTTTGCTCGGCTCGCGGAGTCTTGCCTTGCGGCTTGCGAGCCTTCTTGTCTTTTTTTTTACTCCAGCTGTTCTCCTTCGGTTTGGCCTTAGGAGGTCTGATTCCAAATTTTCCGCTGGTAACCGAAGAGAGGAAATGCTCGTACATAACCTTGCATTCTTATGTGTTGTGCTTCTTACTTTTGTGATAGGAACAATACTTCTCCAGTTCTTCAGGTTTCGACCATGATGCTTCGGATGCGCTTGGTGTCTTTTGTTCGTCATCCGTTCTATCCCAGTGGTTCCATCCTTTTGCTCGGACCACGACTGTTGAGCCCGGGAGGTTATCCTCATCGACCATGTGGACAAATTTTTTCTTCGGGTTCGCTTTATCGCTCGGGGCATGCTGTCGCGGCTCTGGTCGGGTGTCGCTACTCTTGGACGACGCTTGCTTCGTTGTGTTCTGGTTGCTGATGATTGCCTTGGTGTCTTCTTCCATACGGATGAAGTTGTTAGACTGAGCAATGCATCGGAGAGGGACTTAGTCGGATGGCGACATAGGTCATCTCGGAACTTGGAGTGCACGTACAGAGTGTTCATGAGGGCGTTCAATGCAATGCTGTCCAGGAATTTGACTTTGGACACAATACCCTTAAATTTTTCCATGAAGCTACGAAGACTCTGCCCTTGTGCTTGGGAGAGGTTCCAGAGATTGGACATGGTGGCTTCCTCGCGTGTGAACATTATGTAGTTCTTTAAGAAAATGGATGACAGGTCGTGAAAGCTGTCAACAGAGTTTTCTGGCAGGCCGGTAAACCATGTGAGGGCCACACCAGTTAGACTCTCGACGAAAAGCTGGCAGTAGCCGGCGTCCCACTCTTCGTCGGAGAAGTTTTGTCGCCACATCGCGATGTTGAAGGATGTGATGTGGGCCGTTGGATCCAAGAGACCGTTGTAAGTCGGCAAGCGGATCTTGTCCATCTTGCGGAGTCCTACGTTGGTTATCTTGCTAGTGAACGGAGTCCAGAGGGTGTCTGCAAGTATGCTTTCGATGAGCGGGGCGGAGATCGTGACTCCATGAATCTTCGAGTTTATGTCGAGGAGGGCTTGTTTGAGCGTGGCGATTTCCTGGATAGTCTGCAGATCTAGACTGTTTCCTGGTAACGCGGAGTCGTTCGAGGGTCCGGTCGGCATGATAGGTTAGTTAGCCGGAGTAGGGGTAAGGTTTGTGTTGAAGAAAAATCGCCGGGCCGTGGAAAGGTGTCGTCCGGCACCGTCCGGATTTGCGAGTACGGCGGCGATAGCCGCGAGGTGCTCGTTTGTCGCCTTCTGGGCTTCGTCCTGGCGAGCAAGGCGCTCCATGACGGAGTCGACGAAGGTCGGGGCAAGTGGTACGGCGACGCCTGAGGTCGGTGCTGTGGCATCCGCCTCGTTGCCGGAGGTTGAATCGTTACTCGGACTCATCCCTGTGTTGACGCTGCGTTGTTTTGCCCCGCGGTGGGCACCAACTGTTCGAACCGAGTTCAGTCTTTTCAGTAAGTGAGTGACTGAACTCGTCTGTGGGTTATTTCAAAGGTGTTATTACTATTTATGAGTCAGAGAGTAGTTTTATTGATGAAAGAGTTTGGTTACAAATGAGGAAAAGAGAGGCAAGGCGGAGTCTCGCTGAGAGCTCAGCCGTGCCGTATAAGTCGGAAAGAAAGTACAAGAGTGAAAACCCTGATTCTAGCCGCCTTGTGGGTAAAAGTGATTTTGGATCCTTTCCTTGTTTCCCCCTCACCTCCTTTTATAGCGCCCTTTGTTTTAACCTAATGAGCTGGTCACTTGCGTGGAGGACTTTCACCGAATGGGCCCTAGTCGGCCGTCAAGGTAAGTGTCCCTCCTAAGCGTCGTTAACTCGGTTAATCGTGGGGGTTATCTGAGTTTAACATGATTAATCGTTAACCAGCGACGTGCTACCTCACTGGACCGAAGCTCGTATGGGTCGGGCCCATTATTCAGTGGGTCTTGTAAAGGGGAGTATTCCACCACCAACAGTGGGGCCATGTCGACTCTATATTGAGTTATTGTCTCCTCCTTTGTTACATGCGCCTCAGCCCAGAATGTTGACTTTGTTACCGCTATTATTGTTACCGCTATTCGTAGTGTTTCCTTAGGATCAATATCTAATTAACTAAAAATCTTATTGTTTTGCGTTTTCCAAATATACCACAATATCAACGCAAAGCTGATCATCCATCTTTGATAGAACTCTCCAAAAAAGATGGTCCAAATTTGTGAACAAAGAGTTCGTCGGAAAAAGGGTCGAACCGGTCGGTATCTTAGATAACGCCCATACCTGAATCACCGTAGGACATTCAAAGAAAACATGATTTATTTTTTTCTCCCCGGCACCACATCTGGCACAATATAAATTTCCATGCATTCCCCGCGCTTGGAGGTTAATTTTATATTAATTCGTTTTAATTTATAGTTAGTTATATATTAATAAATATAATAATTAATTAAGAGTAATAATTAATCATTAATATAAAATATAAAAATATGACAAACAAGCAAAACTGTCTAAAATTATGGTGGATATGACACCTAAACAAAATTATTTCTCAAAAAATAGTATATATATATATATATATATATATTAATTTATTTTTAGTATATCGCTAATCAATAAACTATTTTTTAGATAATAATAATCATCTAATCAATGAAATTTATTTTAAATTAAGTTTAATTATATATTAATTCGTTTTAATTTATTAAGAATAATAATTAATTATTAGTAAAAAATATAAAAACATGACAAATAAGTAAAATTATCTATAAAATTATGGAGAACAAGAAAACTAAATAAATTTACTTCTTAAATAATCTTATACAATAAAGGAGACTTTTCTCCCTTCTCCCGCTGCCACGTCATCAATCACCTTGGGGCATTTTTTTCCACCCGTCACTTCCTCTTGCTCATACGAGAGACCATCTCCATATGTGGGCCAATGTTGTGAATTCATACGGTTTGCGTAGGCCCATAACATGAGTCTCCATTATATAAGATAGTGCGTAAATTGGTAATTAGGTCAACTGGCCCAATAAACAAACATGTTTCTCAGTTTTAGTCTAAAATCACCGTATGCAAATATGTAGCTGTCGCCATTACCTCAACCCTCCACTTCCCTCCCATTAATTATTTCATGTAAATGTTAGCATTAACCCAAATCTATCACCCCTTCCCCATCCGTCCAACTTCCATGCGTTTGTGATGAAATTTTCCAGTATATATACGAATCAGAAGTGAGGATTCTAGAGATCTGGTCGTCCCAATCATTGTTCTTTCTTAATTCTCTCTGAAAGAAGCTATTATAATGGCGATTTATCAACTCATTCTCCCTCAGTTGAAGGCTGGTCGGTGTAGGGCGACGGTTGTCACACGCTCCTCCGTTTTTTGGAAGCTAAGAATGGAAAGAAAGGTGGAGAGCTTATATAGATTGATTTGTCTGGTAGATGAGGAGGTATGAGCTCAGTGCATTTGATGTCACTAAGTGTAACCAGTTCTTCAAGCTGACGCCAGCACCCGTTCGGTAAGATTAACAGAGCATACCAAGTCACTACAAATTTACGTTTCCTGCATTAATCACCAGTCACTCCCACACATCTTTATTTGTTACCCTAATTCGTTTATTTTTCTTAAATCAAAGGACTTCCGATGCAACCAAAGAGTATCCCTCCGCCGCCTGGATCCTGAAACTGGTAGTACCGGCTGAGCTTCTCTTCCCAGCGACGTCTGCTCTCTCAGCTCCGATTCTTACTTGGCCACAAAAGCAGCACCATCAGCTTCAAAACTGAATTAACGTGCTCACTTGATCTTCTGTTTCAGATGATAGATTAGTTTTCAGCAATCAAAGCACTGTCCCAAGTTGAAAAAAAAAGCACTGTACTAAGTTAAGCCAAAAATATCTTATTGAAAGTTATGATTTTTGCAAAATTTATGTTTTATTGATCTACCCCTTTTACTTCTTATGTGTAGGCTGATCCTGAACTAGAAGCTATTAGACATGCGATCGCAAGAGCTGAAATCTGGGCATGGCAATGTAACTATTATTTCCTTCACTTATGTCAGTTTTTTTACAATAGGGAAAAGTTACATTTTTAGCCAACCTGACTAGCAGAAGAATTAATTATGTCAATCAGCAGAACCCAAATCAACGGAGATCAACAGATGTTGCTAAAAGATGTGCATCGTTGCTGTCTATTAGCTGATGGTAAACTGATTTTTTATTTTTCAAAATTTGAGCTAATCTATTTTCTGATTGGAACATATGTTTAGGGAAGCTAGACTAATGATGCTTAGTCAAATATTTTTTTTCCCATTCTTGAGAGAGAAGTAAGTCCCATCTAAAATGCTTTGAAGCTCATCTATTTTTTTCTCCTTTGTTCTTTAGTGGGTGTCATCGACATGATGCTGATCTTCCAAATTGTGGTAATATATCTTCTCTGCAGTTGCTCCAATTTCCCTGGTGAAACCTTTAAGATCTATAGGCTTAGAGGATGGTATTCTGAGGGGTTCTCAAATGGAACAGATAATTGAGAAGGTAACAATCTCAGTGACCTTTTTTGAGAAGGTAAGTATCCAATCCAGTCATCTGAGAGACATTGCAATAGTCTTTTTTTTTTTTTTCACAGGTTTGTGAGGAGCTGCCTAATAACGCTCTGGAGTTTTGCGTTAATTTTTACAAGCAATTTCATTTTTCGATGGTTGGAAGCTGACGAGTACTGTTAGTTTTGCTGCAGAACAGTCAGCACCAATGAAAGTTCCAGGTAAAACATTTGAATTTTGTTAGTAATGCAGCTTAGAATGGGCATAGACAAAGTTTAAAACTTTGACTTTTTGGCAGTAGAGATTTACGTTTTCACAGTTCAAGCTAATAAAATATTAATCAAGAAACCATCAAACTGAAGAAACAAGATTTTGGTATTTCTTAAATATTGTGTACTGGTTTGCAGATTATTGTTGCAGAAGAGCCAACTTCACTTCTTCACCCATGGCCAGGACATAATCTGATTTCAGTGGTCCGACCTTCAATGGCACCTATTTTGACAAAGCAGTTACATAAAATGCTAACGTCGCAGGTTGTCTCTCTCAGTTGTAATATCGTTTTAGCTTCCAGCTGCAGTGACTATATTTATGAAAAAGAATATATTCCAAAGATAATAATCAATTGTTCACATATACCCTTTTACTAGATCTTTCTGAATGTCAATTCCTATGCCCCCACAAGCATTTTGACATGGTCTCAAACCCAAAAGCACACTCGGTGTTGTATCTTTAGATCTGTTGCATTAGATATTTCATCTTGATACGCAATATTCCTCTTTTTGATACAATTCTTTGATCAGTGTTTGGGCATTTGAGACCTTGAAGATGTCTATCTTCTATTCTATGAAACATTCTCCTAGAAATTCCCTTTGCTAAACGGTTTCTCAGAGTTTTGTTTTCAAGCTACAAGATTTAGCAACAAGAATCTGTGATTTGTGGGTTTACTTCCATCTGTGTCAATCTGTATGAGCTAGCGTAGTTCTTTTGTTGGTTTCTTATTTATGCTATTTGGATGAATAAATTTTCCAACCAATATCTTTGGTTATTCTAAACTGTAAGATGTAAATCTCCAGAATAAATGTAAAATTACTATAGAAATATTTACTATATTTTTTTATGGTTTCATCATACTCATGCTAACGAATAAATTAATTTAACATAATTTTCTTTGTTATTGATTTGAAACTATATTTATATATAACTTTGAAATATAACTTCTCCTAGATATAACTTTTTTACAATACATTATTTCAATTTATTTATCTTAGAGGTGGATTAATTTATTATGTGAGAATATTAATTATTGTAATAATATTAAAATTTGATACTTTTAAAAATAAGAAGGTAGTAGTAGTTCTTATTTTAGATTTTCTTCAACTATATCAAAATGAAATATAAATCAAAACTATAAATAGAAATTAATACATTAATTTTAGTTTAATAATTTAATATTTTCTAACAGAAAAAATGTTAATGACCCTTTCAACTCAAATCAACAAAATTTAATAAAATTTACAATACGGTAGTTGGATAAAACAAATTATATTTATTATTTTATTTTAAAATAAATTTTAAATGTTTTATAAAATTATAATATATTTTAATCTAAAATAATTTAATGTAGACTCACCCGTCCGTAGGGCGGACCAACCCCTATTAGTACAGATAATCCAACAACCCTGCACAAAAAAAATGATGGTGTCCGCGTACGATACGGACCAGAATGTGATGATTAATAGATCCACGAAGAAATAGAATTTGATTTTAGAGCAACAAGTTGTATGTAACAGACTTATTTAATTTAAACCCATACACTCGGATATAAATAACAGCCTAATAGCATTGTGCGGTGGGCTAGGTTTATTAATCAATATTACTTCAGTGCTTAGCTACCCGATTATAAAACAAAGAGCCATTTGTTTTAGGTCGGCAAAACTGAAATGTCACGTGGAATGCCACATCGGACACTGTAGAGGATACACCACCTCTGTAGATACAGTTAGATTCGTAGTTATGATATCTGCTTAATATTTTAACGTACAACATCCACTTATCTTACTCTCAAAACCCAATTCCACGAACGTGAGTAGTCTATAATCTAATCTAGTAAGATAAAATATTACCTATAGACGTTTTATAATATAAATTACCAAAAACATATGATGGAGTTAGGCCTTAAGCTATAGTTATTTGCTGACATGTACACCACCATTCAAAAAGAAACACGCCTTAACTAAGATAAAGGGATAAAGCTAACCACACGGCATATACTTAAATACGTATAAATACTAATGATCACGTGGCATTTTGTTCACATTATACTGGTTGACTTTCTAATAAGTCAAACATCACAGGCGCCAAACGTTCATATAAACGTTTCATTTTTCTTCAAACGGCAGTTAGGCACAAACATTTGATTGTCAAAGAGATACTGTCTCTCTTCGATTGTATATCTCTATCTATACAATATATATATATTTGTATAGTCAAACACCATTTTTGATTCTTTGTTGCCTGAACTAAAACACACACACAAACACACAAGAAATGGGTTCTTGTTCTTTGTTGTCTTTCTCGTTCTCGATCATTGTTATGACCGTTCTTGCTTCAAAAGACAAGAATGAGTTAATAAAAAGTGATCAAATCTCTTTGCTTTCTTTCAGATCATCCATTGTTTCAGACCCTCACAACTCTCTAAGCACGTGGGTCTCTTCAACTTCATCATCATCATCTGTTGATGTTTGTAACTGGTTCGGTGTGAGGTGTAACAACGACAGCACTCGAGTAATCGAACTCGACATCAGCGGCCAAGATCTCAGAGGCGAAATCTCACCGTCGATCGCAAACCTAACCGCTTTAACCGTTCTTGATCTCTCAAGAAACTCATTCACAGGATTAATCCCACGTGAGATTGGCTCATTACATAAAACCTTGAAGCAGTTAAGTCTCTCTGAGAATCTCTTACAAGGAAACATTCCACATGAGCTTGGTTCGCTTAACCGTCTTGTTTATCTCGACCTCGGAACCAACCGGTTAACCGGTCAAATCCCGGTTCAGCTCTTTTGCAACGGCTCTTCTTCATCTCTACAATACATTGATATCTCCAACAATTCTCTAACCGGAGAAATCCCTCTGAAGAACCATTGTCACCTCAAAGAACTTCGGTTTCTACTTCTCTGGTCGAACAAGCTCGTCGGGGACGTACCTTCTTCGCTTTCAAACTCTACAAATCTCAAATGGATCGACCTAGAGTCAAATCTCTTAACCGGAGAGTTACCTTCTAAAGTCATAAGCAACATGCCACACCTTCAATTTCTTTACCTTTCTTATAACCATTTCATTAGCCACAATAACAACACCAACCTCGAACCGTTTTTCGCCTCTCTCGCCAATTCCTCTGACCTACAAGAGCTAGAATTAGCCGGAAACAGCCTCGGAGGAGAGATAACTTCTTCCTTAAGGTACCTCTCTGTGAATCTTGTGCAGATTCATCTCGACCAAAACCGTATCCATGGCTCTATACCTCCAGATATATCAAACCTTTTGAACCTTACCCTTTTAAACTTGTCTAGTAACCTTTTAACCGGTCCACTCCCTCGTGAGCTCTGCAAGCTAAACAAGCTTGAAAGAGTTTATCTCTCGAATAATCTCTTAACCGGTGAAATCCCTGCAGAGCTTGGGGATATACCTCGTCTAGGTCTTCTTGATTTGTCTAAAAACAAGCTTTCCGGTTCGATCCCGGATAGTTTCGCTAATCTTTCTCAGCTGAGAAGACTTCTTCTCCACGGAAACCATCTCTCTGGAACTGTCCCTCAAAGCCTTGGAAAATGTATCAATCTTGAGATTCTTGACCTCTCTCACAACAACCTCTCAGGGAAGATTCCTGTTGAGGTAGTCTCCAATCTCAGAAACCTGAAGATTTACCTCAACCTCTCAAGCAACCACTTAACCGGGGAGATTCCTTTGGAGCTAAGCAAAATGGATATGGTTCTCTCCATTGATCTATCTTCCAACGAACTCTCGGGGAAGATTCCGCCTCAGCTCGGAAGCTGCATTGCGTTGGAGCATCTGAATCTTTCAAGAAACGGTTTCTTTGGTGCTTTACCAGCTTCATTAGGCCAACTGCCTTATCTAAAAGAGCTAGATGTGTCCTTAAACCGATTAACCGGAGCAATACCGCCTTCTTTTCAACAGTCTTTGACTCTCAAGAACTTGAACTTCTCCTTCAACATGTTCTCAGGAAATGTATCTGACAGAGGATCATTCTCTAAGCTGACTATTGAGTCTTTTCTTGGAGATACTCTCTTGTGTGGCTCTGTAAAAGGGATGCAGAACTGCAAGAAGAAACACAAGTACCCTGTTGTTCTTCTACCGGTTCTGTTATCGCTGATAGCAACTCCTTTTCTGTGTGTTTTCGGGTACCCTTTGGTCCGAAGATCAAGATTTGGAAAGAATCTAACAGTGTACGACGAAGAAGAGGTGGAAGATGAGGAGAAACAGAACAGAAAGGACCCAAAGTACCCAAGAATATCATATCAGCAGCTCATTGAAGCAACGGGAGGGTTCAGCTCTTCTAGCCTGGTCGGTTCAGGGAGATTTGGTCATGTTTACAAGGGAGTTCTCAGGAACAACACGAAGATCGCGGTTAAAGTACTTGATCCAAAGACAGCAGTGGAGTTCTCAGGGAGTTTCAAAAGAGAATGTCAGATCTTGAAGAGGACAAGGCACAGGAACTTGATCAGGATCATCACAACTTGTAGCAAACCTGGTTTCAAGGCTCTTGTTCTACCGTTGATGCCAAATGGGAGCTTGGAGAGACACTTATACCCGGGAGAGTACTCCAGCAGAGACTTGGATTTGATTCAGCTTGTGAGTATCTGCAGTGATGTTGCGGAAGGAATAGCTTACTTGCATCACTATTCACCTGTCAAAGTAGTTCACTGTGATCTAAAACCAAGCAACATCCTTCTTGATGATGAAATGACAGCTCTGGTTACTGATTTTGGGATCTCAAGATTGGTTCAAGGCATTGAAGATACGGTCTCTACTGATGATTCAGTCTCATTTGGCTCAACAGATGGATTGTTATGCGGATCAGTAGGTTACATTGCACCAGGTACACATTTCTTAGCAACATCATTAAAGTTTAACCAAATAGTTTTTATTAGTCTGTAAACATATTTATTCATTTTTCATCAGAATATGGGATGGGAAGACGAGCATCTATACATGGAGATGTGTACAGTTTTGGAGTTCTCTTGCTAGAGATTGTGAGTGGAAGGCGACCAACGGATGTTGTTGTCAATGAAGGATCAAGCTTACATGAGTTTATAAAGTCCCATTACCCTAATTCTCTAGAGGGGATAATCCAACAAGCTTTGATCAGATGGAAGCCGCAGGGGAAGCCAGAGAAGTGTGATAAGCTTTGGAGAGAAGTCATATTGGAAATGATTGAATTGGGGTTGGTATGTACTCAGTATACTCCTTCAACTAGGCCTAACATGCTTGATGTTGCACATGAGATGGGAAGGCTGAAAGAGTATCTCTTTGCTTGTCCTTCTCTTCTGCATAATCAACCTCAAGAAGCACAAGGAGAAGCTAGTTCCTGATGATGGTTTCTGAATCAATGTTTCAGAAAGTTTTGATGATTGTTTATTCTTTTTTCTTGGTGATTTTTGTTGGATTCTTGAGTTTAATTGTTTAAAAATGAGTGGAAATTTGTGGATTAAAGTCTTTGATTTATGTCTTCCCTTTTGGTTTAAGATCCGCAAACCAATATCTTCTGATCAAGAATCAGCCAACCAAATCTTCTATTTCACATTCATTAGTTAACTATTTTTATATTAAAGATTTGGTGGGTTTATTTGTAATCATGATCATAGCTAATGTATGTGCTATGATTCTAGCAATAAAGCTTCTCCTAATCTTCCATTACATTATAATCTAATAATCAATATATCATTTTTGCCTAACTTTGGATAAAAACAGAAGAATTGTGACAGAAATTTATATTGCAAGTGGAAGCTGATGTCGATCTGATTAATCTCTTCACTGTCATCATCAGTAGTCCTTTATTAGTTTAATACTTTTAAACTAAGTATGCACTAAGGGGTGATATCAACATCAAAAAAAGGTCAACAAGCCATCATATTTGTCTCTTTATGCCATCTTAGGAAGCTGATGAGTCCAGAAACAACCAATCTCATGCAGAAAAAAATAATGTAAGGAAACCAGTCATGTCAAGTACATACTTCTTCATCAGTTTCATTATGATAAGTTTGATTTTGCAGCAATAATCAAGAAATTTTGGATCATTCTGGATAATACACATAAAAATCTCCAACTTTTTTATTGGTTTTGATATAAATATTTGAATTTTACTGACTAAAGCTTCAAAACTGTCATTTAACTTGTCAAATGTCAATATACTATCTCAATCTTATTGTCAATAAAGTTGGTTGTATTAGATACAAAGCTCTATCTTAAAAAATTAATGGGAAAAAGAAGATGCTATAGGACATGCTAGAATTTGATGATGAGGTAGGTGCAAAAGAGAAATATCATGATTTTTCAAGTACTTAGCAAATCCGGATGCCCACACAAAGAGGGAAGGGATAACCTCTTAATAAAGAAGAGATATTGCTTCATGAGAATGACACCCAGTAAGCTACATACAGAGACTGTGAGTAACCATAAACTTGTGGTGAACTGAAAATGTTGCCTTCATTGATAGTGACTGACACAAAAGTATCTTTTGTAATGTAGTTGTGCCAATGAAGAAAAACTTTTGAGATGTTGATAGGAATATGTTTAGGTATCGGTTTCAGAATGTGGAAAGCTATGATGACGAATAAGCATGAGAAAAGATAATGCTAAGACAGAAGTAGAAGTTTGGTCAGATATCAACCGCGGTTAACATTGGTTCTAATTGCAACTAACCAAAGAAATGACTTTATTTATTTGCTAAGGATTAGATTATGTAAAGACTCCAAGCCATAGATGTTTGTGGTAGAAGAATAATAATCTAAGATTAAGATTTAATTTAAGAACTTCTTTAGTGCAGAGATGACAAAGCATCCACAAAACTCTTCAGGTTGGTAACTTTCACTTTCATTCTTCTCTTAATTGTCTGAACAAAACCATGAAAAATATCTAGAAAACAGAACAAATATTTGCTTCCCAAAAGGCTCAACTACACAAAAATGTGGATTTCAGCAAAAGAAAACAAAAACAAGTACAATCTCAATCACACCATATTGAAAACAAAAACAAAAACAAAAACAAGTACACTTATAGGCTTGTATACTTCTTGAACAAAATCAAGATGATCTTCCTATTTGTAGAAATCTTAGTTAGTGTATTCTTACTCGCTCTAATGCCACCAAGAGCAGACAAAAGGCATGTCTCATAGCCAGAAGTAAAGCATTGCCTGTTTCAATATACATGCCAAAAAATTTAGCAATTAAGTACTGTTTGATTTTATTGATAGAAGTTGATGTTACCATACCTCTTGGACAGAGACAATAGCTGAGTCATAACAAGGAACTAACTTCTCAGTTGTTCTTGAATTCTTCATTTCAGCTTGGACATAACTTAACTCTTCTTCTTGCTTCACTTCACTAGTTTGAGGCTCTGTGTTGCACCTAGCCCGCTCAAGCTGCTCTACTCTCTCTCTCAACCGCTGCAACTCGGCTTGATACTCTGCATCTTTTGCATAGAAACTTTCTTCCACATTATCTCTCTTCACCCTTCTGTTTTTCTTCCGTTTAGATGATTTCCTAGACATCTTTGGAACTATATCTTGTATGTTTGATGAGCTTGCAGCAAAAGCTTCACCTATGTCTCCATTCTTAATTTCTGTTTTTATAAAATCTTTAAAATCTGTAAGCTCTTTTAATTGCTCATTTAGCTTCTTGATCTGATCCCAATACAAGTCTATATTCTTGTCATGATGTCTTCTTGATGAATCCAAGCTCTGCTCAATAACTTCCTTCTCAACAGGAACCAAAAGATCTGTATCAACCTGTTCTGGAGATGGCGTTTGAGATCTATCGCAACATCTCATATCATCATCATCATCATCATCAATTCCGCTGCATCCCAAACTCAAAAGCTTGGACTTGTAGGCATATAATTTGCTCTCAAGATTCTTGATTTCAACTTCTTTCTGGTAACTAAGATCCTCTAAATGCTCTAGTGACAACTCAGCGTGAGACATTCTCTCCTCCACCATTCTCCTGTACTGGCTAGCTTCCATAGCTAAAGCCGCTTTTTCTCCTTGAAGCCTTAGAATCATTGACATGGCTTCGCTCGCTGACGTGGCAGTTGCTTCTCTCTCGGCTTCTAACTCTTCTTGGAGCCTCTGAACATCTTCCTTCATTTCATAAAGAGCTATTCTAAGAGCCGTGGACTCAGGTCCACGCATGTTTAAGCTGTAGCTTCTTCCTACCATATCTCTGCAATTGCGCAAAAAGAAAAACACTATAGTCCTTTGTTTACACAATTCAATACTTATATGGTCTATAAACTAACTTCATCATACCAATTAATCACAGCAAATATGATTTTTTGGTTTTGTTCTGATCTTCTTCCAAATTTCAAAGGAGAAATTTTGACAGAAGTGGACAAGAATCTAAGCAGTGGAATACAGAAAAAATCTTATTGTACCTGATAGATTTGCAGAAGAACAGGAGTTTTGTACGAGCAAGTTTATAGATAGGCTAAGAGAAAAATTGATGGTTCAGAGAGATTATAAAATCAAGATTTTTTTCTGTACAAAAGAACACCAAAATGCTAAATTCGACAAAATTATAGCTAATGAAGTAAAATAAGACCAAATAAAGGGAAAGTTTTATTCATTTAGATCAGCCATGCTTGACCAAAAAAAAAAAACAATTATGATGCCGCGTCCATATCATTAAAAGCAGAAAGTTTATGAATTTTGGTCAGCAGAAAGAGTCATTTACTGAAAGTTGTCATAAACTAAATTTATTTTTCTAATTGAATTCATTCAAGTGTATGAGAAAAAGAGTTCGTCTCGTAATAATCAGTCTAATATTCCTCTAAAACATTGATGAGGTCTCCGGAATATAAAAAGAAAGGAGGAGCTTGGAATGATGAAGCTGATTTTTGAATTTTAATTTTCTGCTGACATTAAAAAAAAAACAAAAAAGAAGATTTAAAGTTTTCAACGGCTCATTACAGGACTAGGTATTAGCTCCTGTATGACCCTACCACACCACTACCTTTCTTGTTGTGAAAGGTAAGACAGTTTTTTGTTGTGCGTATTGATGCTATACAACAGACGGAGCTCTAAGAGAGCAGCTTGGGCCACAACAAACTCTCTTCAAGCCCAGTAATTCAGACAATGCAAATAAGCCCGCAAAAACCCAGCTGTCACCTGCAACAAAGTACAGTATAAGCTTCACAGTACAATAGAGGAAACAGAGCAGTGAGAGACAAACCAGTTGGAGCGAGTTGTGGTGTAGGCCTGTAGCTCTATCTAGCCCCAACATTCCACTCTTATCCTTACACTGCTCATAAATGTTTGGCACGTGTAATGTGGGTCTCAACCAAAGGAACTACGACTATAATATTCTTTAAAGGTCTAATTGGTGAGATAATCAAATTTGGGAAGTAAATTAAGTATATAGCTATGGTATACATATAATGTAGTGTCTAATATTTAACCTTCTTTTTACTCGGTTTTATTCCCTTCACCAACAGGTAAATGGTCACATGGTGTAAAGCAAAAGACGTGGAGGTTTTCTTTGGAATTGTTGAATCACGAAACTTATGAAGCTCGACGAGACATGACTTCAACAAAAATAAAGTATTTGCCCAAGATCGAAACTATATTCACGTAACGGCGTGTTGAACTTACATCCAGTACATATATTCCATACTACTTTGCTGAATAACTATTCTATGTTTTATGTTCATAACTTACATGAATAACATACAACATAGTATAGTTATTCATGTAAGTTAATAACTATACTATGTTGTGATTACAGTAGGGGTATAAAAGATTATAAACCATATAACTGAGGTTGACTTACAGACCATCTGATCTATCCAAATTTAAATATTACATATAAAGTAGTACAATGTATTATTCTATTCTATTGTTGTACTATTCCACATAGCATTGAGTATATTATCCAGTATATTAGCAGTGCCATGCTATCTCGTTTTGAACTATTCCACACAGTTATGTAGTTTACCATATCAGATTATATTCCATTTGAAGGATCGATTGCTACACAAGGGTAATGGATTATATCAGATTATATTCCATTTGTAGTTTACCATATCAGATTATATCAGATTATATTCCAGTTGTGGTGTTGTGGTAGGTTGTGATTAAAATAAGATTATAAAAGATTATAAAACAGTGATAATAAATGACGTGGTGGTTTTCTGTAGGATAGTTAAATCACGAAACTTATGAAGCGCATAGAGAAACAGTTTACCTATTTCTGTTCCATTCTACATATGTCATCCATTTCATTTCGTTTTTCTATTCATCTATTCCATTTATAAATGATTATAAATAATCTATAGATCCTTTAGATTGCCTTGATATTTCGTTATGAACTATTCCATACGGTTATGTAGTATAGCATATCAACATATATTTCATTTTTAAGTTGGATTACATACGGTATTAGGAGGTGGGTTAGGAAATTAACCATCTACATTGAGGATGGACGCTAATCACTAAACAAAAGTTAGGAAAAGATAAACCCCAATCATTAGCTAGATCTTGAAATAGTTGTTAATCTTTTTCTTTTGTTTATCCCACTAAACAAAAGGTAGAGAAATATATAAACCACAATCAATAAACATAAGTTAGGGAAATATAAACCCCATAAATTGTCATTTAAAATGTTATGGACGCTTATCACTAAACAAAAATTAGGAAAATATAAACCCCAATCCATTATGCTTTTTAAGTTGGAATACTACATACGGTATTAGGGGGTGGGTCAGGAAAGTAACCATCTACATTGAGGATGGACGCTAATCACTAAACAAAAGTTAGGAAAATATAAACCCCAATCCATTAGCTAGATCTTGAAATAGTTTTTAACCTTTTTTTTTTGTTTACCCCACTAAACAAAAGGTAGAGAAATATAAACCACAATCAATAAACATAAGTTAGGGAACTATAAACCCCATATATTGTCATTTAAAATGTTATGGACGCTAATCATTAAACAAAAATTAGGAAAATATAAACCCAAATCCATTGGCGATTAAGCCATTTCTTTTGTGTACACCACTAAACAAAATTCTAAACTCTAATCACTAAACCATTACCCAAATATAAACCATAAAGTTATCCACTAGTAATAAACCCTAAACTTATCCACTAATCACTAACCAATACACGGAAAATATAAACCCTGATCCAACACTATCTTAAAAAAATATTATATACAAGTATGAATGTGGAAGATACATAGAATGGTATTAAAACGTCCAATATAGAACATAAGTGCTAATAAGATGGATTTCCATTCAATTGTATGTTAGATTTCCATTCAATAAATATTTTATTTAAATAATTATGTTACATAGAAGCTAATGTGTGCGTGATATAATATAATAAACAAACACCATAGAGAAGGTATGTGACCCCATCTTCAAGACTCTCCCAAAAAGTGATGCATTCAACATAGCCAAGCCATCATTTTCTAGTGAACTCTTGATCACCTCAATCTAACAGAGATTGAAATAGTAGTTCACCTTTTTATTTCCAGTTAGTTCAAATCTTGTGTCAAAAAATCTACTTGGAAGACCATCCATACCAAACATGGCGAAAGAACGTAATAGTAGCAACAATTAGTGAAGAAATCTATTATATTGTCTGTAGGAAGGAAATTTTTATGGCAGACATCAAAATTGTTGATAAAGAATTAGAAAATACATACGTTCTTCGCATGCTATTCCATTTCACATAGAATCGTGTGAAATTAAAATTTATTCTATTCCATCTCATATAGAATTTTCTAATAGAGCTCAGTCGATGTCCAGACGAAGAGAAACATATATGTTATTCCATTTTGAATATAATAGGCCTTACAAATTATTGATAAAGAATTCTAAAGTACATACGTTGTAGATCATGCTATTCCATCTGAAATTGAAAATTCCTAATAGATCGCATGCTATGTCCAAACAAAAATAACTTATGTTTCTAATAGATCAAAGAAAAAAAACACTGAGAACTTACAGCCGGTTCGAAGATCTGAGAATAATTGACTTGGTTAAGTTTGAGAGAAAGGGTGTGTCACTAAGCGCTGTTGAAACTCTAACGTGGAACTCAAACGCACAACATGATTGAAAATGGAGGACGAAGGAGATGGACAAACTTTTGATTGCATGCGGAGAGGAAGCGGTGGAGCTGATCGTTCACAAAGACCATTTGACTTCAAGATAGTTATCAAGAAGTGAAAAAGAAAAGATGTGAATATGGGCAAGACACGATTTACTTTTGTGTGATAAATAATTAATTTTTTTATTTTATTTTTTTAGCAGGTTCAGCCAGTTGAGTAAAAGGGTAGTATAGTATTAATATGTATATATATATATAACAGCGTGTATATGTCTGTTAGGGAAAATGACTACTAGGTGAATTATAATTTTTTTCATGGTTATAGGCTCCAATTTCCCTTCTTTAAAACTATGTACAATAGTTTTAAAATTCAACACCTTTTACTTTATTTTTTAAGATTTCATATCATTTTTTTTCTTCCATCTCATCATTCAACACACATTCAACTTTTAAACACTACAATGGTTTTGTTGAATAAAATTCAACATTCTATTTCACTAATTAACAATTTTTATATCTAAATTAATTAAGCCTAGTTTCTATTTATAGAAAAATTAAAATAGTAAATTTTCGTATAAAAATAAAAATAAATATTTTTTTATATAATGAAATTATTATTTTTAAATAATTAAAATGATAACAAAATATCAAAAATTGTTAAAAAAAATAACATGTGTCATTAATGAGCTCCACTTTATTCTTATTCAACTAGTTTAATCTTTTCAACACCAATTAATCCACATCATCAAATGTCATTTTTCAATATTCTCATTGTAGTGATCCAATAATTGAATCTTTTATTTAACACCCCTTTTGTAGATAGTCTAAGTTGTATAAATCTACCTTCAATAATATGGCAAAGGCAGTAGTGAAAAACAGTAAATTTTCAGTCTAAAAGAAGTGTTCTTTGTTTATTCACATGTTTATATCATATATCTGACCTAGAATTGTTTCAGTTTGTGATGAACAAAAGCTATTTTTATGTTTAAAGATCTTTGTTTTAATAAAATAGATACACAATATTTCAATTGTTTCCATGATTCCATTATCTTCTTCCTTTTCAACTTGAAATTTGATGACTCACCAGAAAACAAAACATGTCATGCCGTGGTTCATGTTGATAAGTGAAAGATTTTTGGCTTTGTGTTAAAAACTTAATTCCTACTCTAACCTAATCTACATTAGGCTGCATTGGGATCAAAGATCTTAAAGGGAAATTGAATGGTGAGTTTGAGATGAAATATTTAGGAAGATCTTGGACGATATTGGGAATGGACATAATTCAAGATAGAGAGAAATAGTGTTACTCCGTCACAAATGAAGTTATGGAAAAGGTTATTAGAACATTTGGTATGTTAAATTTAAAGTCAGTGGTTACACCAACTCTTTGTACAATTTAAACTAACAAGTTTAACCAATACGGAATGGAGAGGGGAGACAAAGCATAATGAATTTCTTTCCATATAAGGTATGATCGAGACCAAACCTAGCATTTGCAGTACGCTATATCAGTCGATTTAGAGCAAACAGGAAGAGTCCAATATTCAGTAGTTAAATGGGTATTAAGATACCTAAAAAGAAGGTTAAGTGAAATTTAACATTCAGGAAACCTTAAATGGGTATTAAGATACCTAAAAAGAGAGGTTAAGTCAAATTTAACATTCTGGAAACCATTTACCTTCAAGCAAGAACGTTTTTCGGTTACATGGTATGTGTTTCAGACTGGGGAAACACAAATTCATGAAAATTCCCAGACGGTTGCACTATCAACTACAGAAGCAGAATACATGACATTAAATGAAACAGTAAAAGAGGCAATTTAATTAAAAGACATGTGTTCAGATTTGGGTCCAAGAAAAATAATATCAAGACTCATTATGATTCACAGAGTACCCTAGCTCTAGGACAAAATCTGGTTCATCATGAGAGAAATAAACACATCGATTCCAAATTCCATTTCATTGAAGACCTAGTAGCTACATACGACACTATCCTAAACAAGATACACACTACAGTCAATCCAGCTAATTTTTCAAAAAACACGGTATATGGTCAGAAGTTTCAACTATGCTGTGAACTTTTGAATGTTCACTGAATTGACAGAGAAAGACCCAGGTGACCCAAGTTGTATGATTCAATCCTCACATAACACACAAAAAGTAAGGTGGATAATGATTATGGGAGTAGAATCAAAGATCAATAGGAAGTAAAAAGGAATGTCACACATAGAAGGAGTCACCTAGAGCATAAGTGGGATCTAGTGGACAGTCGGTTCAAGTGGAGAAACGGATGAAGCACCAACCAGCTCAAACTTGGAACAACCTAAAATAAATTACCGAATGCTAGTTAGTAACGGAACATAAGAAATTTAGCAGAAGAGTCTCAGAGCTTATCAGGAGAACGGAGATGCATGTCATCAGTTCATCAAATCTGAGTCATATATCTGAAAGTTCGAGTAAAGGCAAGTGAAAGATATCAGAGTACATTGGAGAACCAGAGAAATTAGACATCAACAAGAGATAATAACTTATGCCTAAGTTTATTTGGTCTTTACAAGGTTGTGGTATTCTCTTGTTAAATTGTTTGATTCTTGTATAACCTAAACTATTCAACATAAGCTTGCCCACGAGATGTATCGGTTTGAGGTTGCAAACTAGTTAAACTTGATTGTGTATTTACTTTCAAGTGTAGAACTGGACTGAAGATAACTTGAACTTTAAGTAATCCTAAGTTAAAAACTCTATTCCCTGCTCATGCATGAGAAGCATTTAGATCTGCAATCGCAATTGCGATTGTTTCTAGTTTTAATATCAGAATTCAAAATCAGCTAGTTTTAGACCATACATCGAATAGCAAGATCACACATGCTTACTTTCATACTAAAACCCACAAGGAGACGCTCGTCTAAAATCCACAATGACAAGAGTGGCAACACAATGAACAAGAGCTCCCAAGACTACAAACACATGGAATATCTGATGGCTATGTCCCGCAATGTCAAACGCTCCAGGCTTCAATCTCTCAGGCACACGGCTAACATAAAACAATGCTCCAACGAAATAAGACAAACCAGTAGCAAGCTCGCAAGCGAGAGCGAAGAGCACGTTAGGGTGACCCCAGTAAAGGCAAAGCACATGTGAAGCTGGTACCACGCTACAGAATCCCATTGCAAGGAAAAGATATGCCCTGAATGGTCTGAAACGCGGCGCTGAGAGAGCTGGAGCAAGCAGAGTGATGATGGCGAGGAGACCAAGGATTGAGATTGAGGAGAGGTAGAGGAAACGGAAGTTAGGGTGGCAAGAGAATGCGTAGTAGATAGGCGCGAAGAAAGTGGAGACGATCATGAGTGAGATTCCTGCGTAGTCTAAACGCCAAAAGAAGAGATTGAATCGTTTTGAGTGACAAGCGAAAAGGTGTGAAACAGAGCTACAGATTAAACAACCCATTGCTCCGGCTAAGTACAGGAGCCATGGCCATTTCGGAACAGCTTCTTGATGGTTTACTTCTCCTTGAGAGTTCAGAACTGAGATGTGTTCTGTCACGTTGGATTCCTGCGAGAGAGAATCTTTATTTTAGTTATGTTAACCGGAGGGCAAGACACATAGCATGCATATTAATTCTTACTAGATTTTGACCCGCGCAACCGCGCGGGTGTTTGTTTTCGTTTATAGTTATATAAACATTTTGTTTTCACTTGTAAATTGGTATATATTATAGTAATCACATATTTACGATATGTATAGTAAATATCTTTCAAACATAATAATATTATATAATAAGTGTTTTAATCAAATAGATTATTTCGAATTTTTTATATTATACATGACTTTCAAACATGTGTTTGTTTCTTCTTCTATATTTTATTGTTTGTTAGATTAGTATTTCATTTTTAGATAAAGTAATATAAATAGAGCTTGATTAAATATTAGTGTAATTTAATTTGAAAAGATAATATAAACTTCGAAGAATTTTTTGCTAAAAACTAAACTTATAGCTTCATAAATTAATATTATAAAAAGTTTATTAAAAAGGAACTTTTTAAACAATTTATTTATTTTTAAAGAATACAATTTAAAAATTTTACATTT